GCTGTCTATAATAGGAATCAGGCAGATTGACATTTAAAAATAATCAATTCCCTTAACTTCTATAGTCAAAAGAAAACTTGGTTGTCAAAGATTTAAAAATAAGGAGAGATGGATTTGAAATACAAGATATTTAAATTCGACAAAGACTTTAAAAATAAGAAAGCTATTTTTGTTACAGATAATTATCTTATTAAGTGCGAATTGAAGTTGCATTTTCTAGTGATAGAATATCAAGAGTGATTATTCATGTCTACAAGAAAATTATTAGTAATTATTGAGTAATTTGAATGCTTCTTATGCACCATGATCTTTTACATTTCTATATTTATTTATCCAAGAAATTGCATCCAGAAGACCAAAATTCCCAGGTTCAACAATTTTCATATAATCTTTATCAACATCTTTATTGCATTCGACCCCAGAAAGTAAATGTAATCCTATTTTATATTTTATTCGATAACTAAGGACATCATTATCTTCTATTTTTTTATATGTTTTAAAAGAATTTTTATAGTCAGTAGAAGCAGCAATTACAATAAATAGCTTTGATCGAATAGACTGATTTTTTTTTTTAGTATCTAAATATTCACAATATATTGTAACATCATCTTTATAAATTGTACGATGAGTCTGCATTTTCAGGTTAATGGAAAACACTTATTTGATTATTCAGGATAATCTATAATACATAATTTATATATTTCATATTTTGGGTATTGGGACAATTATATATTTCATATAAAAATTAAATTTTTTAATTTTAATATTGTTCTAATCAATCTAATTCTTAAAAACATTTTGAGTCCTGTATATAATTAATTGAATTTCAATTTACAAATTTAAATTGAAGTTTGTATTTATTTAATTATTGAATTGGTCATAATAAACATTTCATTTAAAAAATAAAAAGCCAAGAATAAAAAATATTAAATTGATAGTTTTTTGAATTTTAAAAGTTCATACCAAATTAAGGTTCAAGAATAATCTTAAATACACTATTATGTTAACATAGAAAGTAACGTTTAAATAAAGAAATCAAATTTATTAGCCTCAATTATATTCACAAAAAATACAGTATAATAAAGAAGATATTCACAATTTACACTCGAATAACAAGAGATAATTTGTAATAATAAAAAATATAGTGTGACTAATTAAAATTAAGGATAACAAAAAATTATAATGTATAATTTCTGAATTCGTGAAAAAAAGCTTCTCTTTTAATTCTTCTAGTTTCTTTAAACATTTTTCATGGAAAATGTTGTGTGAAATAAGCCATAGGAAAAAATATAGTTTCCTTTTAACCCTCTAACAGTGTTTTTTTACTGAAATTATCAGTAATAATTTTATCGTCTTTAAACCATTTATCTTGTAAATAATAAAGTAAAAATGCAAAAAAAAGATGATCCAATAGTCATAATACAGCATTATGCAAAGAAATTGATTTATTAAAATAAAAGACTTAGGTTTCGAATGGTCAGTGAAATAGAAATTCCAATTTATGTCGAGTCCATTGTGCCCTTTAATTATTTGTATATAGTTAAAGGTCTCGTAACAAAAATTAGTCACAACTTTTTAACAAAACATATGCTATTATAAGTGATTATGAAAAGATCTACAACAAATACAGTAATACATATACTAGTTCTTTTAACTTGAAAACTAAGCAAAGAAATAAATATATTATACTGCCTAATACTTTGAAAGCAGATAAAACTGTAACTGACCAAAATACTATTGATACAAAAAAAATTAATAAGATATAATATCAAAGAAGTTTAAGATACATTTAAATAAATATCTTACCAAAAGCCAAATAAGAATTATAAGTACCACTATAATCTTGATTTGAAAAATATTTTGAAAAAGTGTTTGATGTGAACAAAATGATTATTAATCTATTTGTAAATATCCATGAAAGAACTAAATTTGTTCTAAACAATCTATAATAATCATCTTTCTTTGTAAAGGCATTATGGTATTGCTTTTCTTTGTGATCTTTAATTTTAACTCATCGATAATGTTGTTGTATGCAGCATCTATATCTTCTTCCTCAATGATATTAATCTTAATGGTCGCTTTATTATCTTCTTCAGGCATATTATTCAGATTGCCAGTATTAGTATTATCTCCTTTTGTACCTCATGAAACATCATAAGTATTACAAAAAGCATAAATCATAAGAATATTAACGTAAGAAGGAATAAGTAAAATATATTTAATTAAGCAGCTAAACATGTGCCATGGTTCAAAATGAATAAAGGATGAAAAAAGATATAGTAAGTAAGTCAAAGAAACAGAAATTACTATATCTCGGAATGCTGCATTCTTTAAAGCTTCTTGAATACTTGAAGGGCTTCTAAAATCTATTGGTGGTACTGCTTTAAATACAGTGAGATATATAATGTAAATTGAACAGTAAAGCATAGATGCTATGATAATTGCAAAGAGAACAATGCAGAGTGTGTATATCAATTTTGTTCCTTGAGAACGATTTCCCATTGAACAGATAAAAACTATTACAATAATTATTAAATATAATGATCGTGCAGCATCAAATAATTTATCTTCATGGCCTTTGAAAGGATCAGTTGCAGGATTTGAAGTGGTGGACTGAAATAAGAAAAACAATACCAAGTAAAAATTTGCCTAATTTAAGTAAAAGTAAAAAATAAAATAAATAATATAAATAGATACTGATCTTTAACGAATATTTTAAAATGTCATATTTACCAAAGAGAACCAATTAAAGAATAATTGTATACTATTATAAATGAATTAAATTTGTAATAATATCTTGCGATAAAGTGGCTGTCCAGAGCTTCAAATATGAGTAAATTTGACAATAGAATAGAAAGCAATAAAGAAAGATCCATTCAACCAGTGACGATGTTGGGAAATAAATTCAGGCACATTGTCTGGGATATCAGTTTCTGCTTTAGCAGACTGAACAAATACGCAATGAGTTAAAATTTGTAAATATTAGCAATTCTCGGTTATAAATTTGAAATTGTAAATATTTGTTTAAATACTAACATAATTGTAGTAATAAACAGGCTTACCAAATAATTGATTGAGAGAAAAATTAATTGAACTCAATTGATTGGTAGTGCAGCCACAATGAATCAATTGATTGCAATTTTGGGTGTGATAAATCATTTACGTGATGAATAAATATTAACTAATATAATTAATTAGTAAATTCTTATTTGTCACATACAATTATTCATTACACCCATATAGGTCTAGCACAAAATCGTGATATCTAAAATCAATAATACTGATATCACACAACATGACAATTAACATTTAAAGATTAGCGATTATAATTACATTAACAATCATTGTCAGACTTTAAGTTTTTAATTGTCACATTGCTTGATGTCAGTATTATTGCTTGTCGAGATTTTGGATGTCTAGATTTTGTACTAGACCCTATCCATATGGCTAATACATTTAATTGCAATTATTTTTGTCACTAACTGGTTATGATACAATTATAATCAATCATAATTGTGTAATAATTGAGTTGCAATTAATTTTTCGGTTCCTCTAGAAATAAATAATATAATATTTAGATTGGTTACCTTTATATATTGTAATTTCCATGATTCGTGTTTTTTAATGACAAGCTCGAAACTTAAAATACGATTTTCTGCCAAGTACATATTTGCTTCGAAAATACTAGTCTTAGAAACACCTGAACCATGCATGGTCTCACCTTTCAAGTATGATACCAAAGGTCTATTCATTAATGCTTTGTATCTATATGCAGAGAAAGCATCTGGTAATACTGAAATGTAACCAAAAACAGATTCAAATAGTTTGTCTAAGATATTAGACATTTTATATTCAAAATTTTGAGACGCAACTAAAGGATTAAGAAGGTTTCTCCATCTATGACCAAGGTTTACTTTTATTTCTCCACAAGCACTACCAATATTAGGATTACAATCAAAAGCTAAAAATATCAAATAAATAAATAGTAACTATGCACAATAATATATATAGATACGTACTTCATATTTGAGTGCGTGAGAGGAAAATCAGTAATTAATTTGGACTCTAAAAAATTTTGATTAGTATTTTGGTAATTTCAGTAATAAATTATCATATTAATGAATTTCTCTTTCACACACTCATTTATAAAATTTAAATATATCTTTCCACAGGTGGTAAATTGAGATATGTGAAGGTTTTGTTCCCACATCAAGTAAAATACAAATCTTTGGTTTCAAAAGAGAAGCAAAAGCATTGAAAGACCAACGATAAGAATTTAATTTCTTTACATTTTTTTTTTAAACAGAATATAACCTGAACTGGTAGAATATTATTGTTTTTTTCTTAAACTTTAAAATCATTATTAACCATTAATTGTGTAGTGTATTCAAAGAGATGCACAGTGATAGGTTTTCTTCTAACATGATCTTGCATAATTCCATCTTGATAACATCCTATGGCACTCAAAACATTTAGAGTTCTTTTATTGATTTTATTACGACCATTTGAAACAATTAACATGACAATTTTTTTCCAACCTTCACTCCCTCATATTTCTGATCTTTTTTTAGAACAAATATAGGCTATATTTATGATGACAAAAGACATTATTTTAATGAAGAGAGTATCATTTTCATTATA